TAACAAATTTTTATTTTTTATTTCGAGAAGAAAGTTTGGAAAATTTTAACGTGAATTTTATTTCGATTGTGTAATATAGTGCTTTAGAATGTTCGAATAGATTGTAATCTTGAACTTGGAACGTTTATGACATATTTTTGAGTGCGGATTTCACATTTGATTGATTTTTCAGATTGGATTCAAATTATACCACAGCCGTGCTCGGTCACGGTTCCTTGTTCCGTCACATAGACGGCCCTCATCAACAGATATCGATCGTCGATGAACTGCATCCTGTGAATAACTCTGTGTCCATTTTATTACACTTGAAGAGTCGGGTTCATTTCGATCGTTACGTGCAACCGTTGTTCCTCGATAAAACGTAAGTAAGAACTATATCTAGTCAATTGACTTTTAAATAAACAATCAACGAATTCTTCCAGAATTTATCTACCAGGAGCGAACGATAGTTGCGTAGCTGTCGGGTTCAATGGGGATCACGAGGCCGGATCGATCTTTTTGAAACCTGTCCTAGAAAATTGCTCCAATTGTCATCGATGCTTCGTTAATCGTTCCGAATGTTGGGTAAATTTCAACTCTCTCTTCGAATCAATTTTCAAAAACATCTCAAATATTTTATAATTACAGAGAGTATCTTTCTATCCAACATCGATTCTATCCTTTCCTTCTCGTAGAAAAACGAAACAAATTGGAGCGGAACGATATTCTGTCGCGGAAGAAAGGGATGGTACCCCGCGGCTGTGTTCGAAGACAACCAACGTTGCAATTTCACAGATTCGGTGACGAGTATCGAGTACATAAATCCCTACCTGATGGAGGCAATAGGTACGAGGAATTCACAATATCTATCAATTAATCGTCTCGATAGTTTTATTAAGATTCTTGTACTTCACATCGTGCAGACGGGCCAAGAAAGTCGATCGAACCAACGTGTCACGGTTTTCGATGCAACATCGGCCATTGCCTCCCGCAGAATCGTGTTTGCGACGGAGTCCCCGATTGTCGAGACGAGGGCGACGAGGAACCGGAATATTGCGGAAGATTTCGAGAAAATTGCGAGAACGCCGTAGAGGGTTGCAGTGAGTGTGCAGTTGACGGAACAGTTTAGGTTAAATTACAGGCTTAGGTTAAATTACGGACGATTAAACGCGATTATTTTTTCGAAGATTGCACGAGGACGGAGCTTCGATGCAGGAATGGGAAATGCGTGGATCGAGGCGCGTTCTGCGACCGAAGAAACGATTGTTTCGACGGGTCCGACGAGCCTGAAGTGTGCACCTGCTCCGAATACCTGAAACTCACAGCCCCGCAACGAGTGTGCGACGGCGTCCGCCATTGCGTCGACAAAAGTGACGAGGCGCCGGAAATGTGCCCCTGCAGGGAATCGAGTTTCAAATGTAAAACGTAAGAACACTCTTTTTTTCGTTTTAAATATCCATTGCGCGAGGTTCGTTTAAAAAAAGATTGTTCCTTTTGTCAGGATGAATGGAAGAGATATTTGCGTGCCGAGAGATTTCGTTTGCGACGGGGCGAATGATTGTCCGAGCGGCGAGGATGAAGCAGTATGCAGAATGTTGATGCCATTCTCGAACGACAGGTGCGTCAGACATTTTCAATTTTGTCCTCTTTTCTTTTATAAGTGGAAAAATGAATATTCGAGGGATTTTTTTTTTTTCTTTTTCAAATGGAATTAAAATAAATGTTATTCTCGAGGGAAATTTTCAATTTCAGCGATAGCTCGGGAGAAATGATTCGTCGGAGTTACGGCGTCTGGCATACGGAATGTTTTTCGAGCCCCGTTTCGCCCGAATTGGCATCGGATCTCTGCAAATCGATGGGATATTCTTCAGGGGACGTTATTAATGGTGTTGTGGCGACCGACCAACCTACGACTCTCAAGTTGGACAATTTTTACATAGCGAAGATAAATGATTGGGTATGGTTGTCCCTGATAAGGGGCGACAAGCCATTGGTAACTTTGGAAAAATCGAACGGGACTTGTCATCGTGCATTTTTAAATTGCGGATCGAAAATTAATTAATTAAGCGTTTGCTTTCATAAATTCTATAAGAGGTCAGTTTAGATTTGTTTTGTACAATTTCGTATTTATTTCTATTTATTGCGTGCCATTTATATCGTACCATTTATTTATAATATTATACATCGAACTTACGAAATATGAATTATTCTATCTCGAATAAAGGATCGAAAGGGATTCAAACACTGCTCTGCTTTCTCATCATCATTAATTTTTAACTTTTTAACTAAATCAAAATCCAATGGTCATCAATGACCATCAAATAAAAATATTACTCTATCCACTTATTCCTCTGCTTCGAATCTTCTCAAAATTAAAAAAAAATAGAAATATCATTTCTTTATATTCCAACACCGTTCAAATCCCCAAAATATCCCCAAATCCACGTTCAAATCTCCTTCATTCCTCCATATATATATATATACACTCCAATCTCAATCAAACTTTTCCAGCAAGGATACTCTCACCATGGTCATAGATGACCGCACGAAGATGATTCTCCATCATCCACCGACCGTAAACAGCTCGAAACCTGGATTACGCAAGCCTCTCTCCGCGACGAGAGAATTGAAAAAGAAAAAAAAGAAGAGAGAGAGAGAGAGAGAGAAGTATCGAATCAGGTTGCGGTGTGGGAGGGAGGGTGTGACGGGTGAGAGGGAGGATGGAATGCCACAAATGGGGTCGCAGCCGTTGAAGGCAAACGACTGCGCCCTGCCTTCGGTTATCGGCGGAAAACGCCGATGTCCATTCACATTCTACGGCTGACTAATCCGTACCGTTGTCGTGAACGTGATTCCATACCGTGATTCCTGTCACAGTGACGACGTTCCATCCAAGTATTGTTGTTCTTCAACCCTTTCACGCGTGTTGCGGATTCGTGTCTCAAGGTTGGAGGAGAACGATCGAGACGTTTTGGAAGTCAAGATGGGGGAAATGATGTTGGATACCAGGGAAAAATTGGGGGAAAAATTTAATAGGAGAGAATTTTGAGAAGCTGGAAAGTTTGATTAGTAAAAAAGTATATACATTTTGATTAATCTTATTAAATTGTATTGTATGTAATTAAGATTTACATAAAGTGTGAGAAGTAAAGCTTTATCGAAGAGAATAAGATTGTTGGATAGAAGTTTTTGTAGAAAACTGAAGAAGATGAGTGATGGCATGAAATTTGCGATACCTTGGAAACAAGGCCGAATAACACAGGCCTATTAACTTATTTAATGATTCAGCTCTTCTGAAAAATTTCTCCTGCTCCTCGTTCTAGACTCGTTTAAAAAATATTTTCACCCCAAATTACTGGAAATGGTTGATCCTCATCAAAGAATTAACATCGTACAATTTGATATGGTACAACAGTTTTTCACTTCAAGGTGCTCCAACCGCAACTTAGATACTCCTTTTGCCATGGATAATCGCGAAACCGTGAAAAAAGAAAAAAAAGAAAAAATCATCCATCACGCAGCAAATTCCAGCTAGCAGCGGAGAGATATTAAATGGAACCTGTTCGCCTCGACATCGCTTAAAATCCGTTTATATACATTTATCTACCGATGCGTTTCGAGGGATCGTTCGAGCTTGCAACTCGAAGGAATAACAGAGAGTGCAGTGATCTCCGGAATCGCATTACATGCTTCTTGAACGTCGTAAAAAGTTGTTGAAAAAAGAAGGGAAAAAGTGGGAAATTGTTAACTCAAAGAATAAACAGGGTAATAAACGAGGAATGGTAATAACTAAGTAGATTTGTAAATACGTAGAATTCTGGCCTTTGTCTGCAGAATATGCAAGAAGAAAATCGTTTAAAATTGCATTAAGCTCGAGTAAGCTAAAAATAAAATTACCTACAAAAGTAGCTTACTTGCCAAATAATTATATCCTAACGATTACTAACTTTATGATGATATCTCTCCAATTATCAATATCTAACCAATACCCAACCCAACTAATTAATATTTCTCATAACTTAAACTGTATTAAATCCATGGAAATCGAAAATCGATGCAAACATATTTCTCTCGCAAATTAAGAAATTCTCTTTCATCAAAGAGAAACGCAACGATTCGCAAGACGTATAAATAAACGTTCGCGCGAAAATCCAGATGGAAATTGCAGCGACCACAAAGATGGCCGCCGGTCAGCTTTTCTTCCGATGGCATTCGTGCAGGCCGCGCGTCGATTATGTAATCAACGTGGCGCGTACTACGAGTACATACGTGTAATTTCATTCCAAGAAGTACCGTTGACTCTGCTCGCCTCACCGCCTAAGGTGCTTCGTTCCCTTCTGCGACCATTCTCGCTCCGGCGAGGAACACGTTGGATGCGAGGGGAGGAACCAATCCCCCCCCCCCTCGAGTTTTCTAATTGTGAAAAAAAAGGGGTTCTTCGAGGGGAAACGGATGATTGATCGAAACGACTGTGACGACAGTTGTTGGTTATCCTTAATCACCTGTAACGTGTCTGTTTTCTTTTTATTTCTGCTTCTTAGAATTTTATCGTTCCTCGCTGTGTGGATGCAATAATAATAGCGTGCGTTTCTGCGTGGATGTTTGTGCATCAAACGTAATAGATGTACATATTGATTTTTACTTATGTTTTTACTTATGTTTCGTTTGCCGAACGCTATGAGATTAGAGTTTAAATAGGCAAAGTTAATTTTTCCTTTCCTTTTTGCCTTTTAAGAGTAAATATTCGAAAGAAAGAATTGGTGATTACTCTTTTAATAGGACAATTTTATCGAGAGGATTTTTTTTTTTGCATAAAAGTACAGATAATCAGATTGCGAATATTTATATATAAACTTTTATGAAAATGAAATAAAGATCTGTTTCGTATTTCGAACAGCATATGATTGTAAACGCATAAATATAGAAATGAAAGATTTATTTAAATGTCTTATTGAACTTGTGGTTCGATCTGACTCTTAAAACAAAAGAAGAAGGGAAAAACGAAATTAATCTCTTAAGTTTAATTTATGGCTGGATTATCGCGTCCACTCAAAATCCACTCGATCTTAAAACTCGCATTAATTTCCACGAATGAACGAAGATGGTCGACAAAGTGCATCCAAAATAAATTACGCAAAAACTTTTCTCCACTTCCTTGCAACGTTTCAATTCATCGTCGAGTGGTTTTTTTTTTTTCGCGATTTCATTTTCTTACGGTGAATCTCGTTTATTAGAACGCAACAATTTCCCTGGAACCAATTAACCGTGTTCCTGTTGTTCCATCCGTGATCTTCGAATTGAAAGATCACTCGAAGAAGATTGGAGAGATTGTTTCTTTCGTGGAAATTCGATGAGATAAAGACGTCCTCGTAGCTCAATGAATTTACACGCGGTGAATAATCACCGTGTGCAAGATGCAACAACAACCACGGATGATTAATCGCATCCTACGTGGATTTTTGCCCGAGAGGTGGCTGCTTTCACTCGAGCGACGCCAATACCAAAGCCCGTCTTTGATTCTTAATGGAAAATCGCGGAGGATGCTGATGACTCGTGGAATCTTTCTTAACAATTGATCCGTGAGAAAGTTGAGACGATGAAATTTTTTTCTCATACTTTTATAACAGAAAAACTGGCTAATCGCTAAAATTAAACCGATTTAACAGTATCCCTTTTTCCTCTGTCCATTAAATTGATCAAAACACGATTGAACGAAATCTTTAACGGTGAAAAAGAAATATGCAAAAATATAAACATAGACGGTTTGAACTCATCGATCGTATTTATATAATCCGAATGGAAAAACAAAGTTCTCTCGAACGATAAAGGCTGGCTCGACGAGAAATGCCGTCCAAAGCTGGCTTACCTATATCCATGGAGCACGTGAAATCGTTGACGACGCGTGAAGGCAGCGCGCCTCGGCTGGGAGCAGTCAGGCACCGATACCGTTACACTTGGCAGCTTCCTGCCACTACGCCGGCCTCCATCGGCCCTGCTCGCCGCCTCTCCTCTGCATACTTGCGCCTCAACCTTTTCGGTATCGTCATTGTCACCTACTGTCCACGAGCGCATGCGCACAGCTATGCGAACCGTAATGCGAACGAAACGATACGATCACGAGTCGATGGAATTCGAAGAGGATCGCTCTTATGTTTCAGATCTTTTCTCTTCCAAGTGTGTATATAAGGTTTGGTTACGAAAACGCAATATACTTTGGTATTTATGTATACGAATTAATATATCTCATTTGACGAGAGTTTCTTCTTTTTTTTGTTGATAAATATTTGCACGATGATGATTACAGTTGACTTTATGGAGGCAATTATCGAGAATAGATTTTTACTGTCGAGGGCAATTCTGTTGATGATGATGATGATTTCTCTGAGATGGAAGATGGATTTTTATTCGATCGGAGGTCCGGAAGGTTGGTAATCTTGCTTTTTTTTGTTTTGCTAATGTGCGATATAAAGGTGTGGCTTGTGTTGTACTTAGGTTATGTTATTATAGTAATAAAGGTTATAATAGATTATAATAACGTAGAGAAGATGTATAATTATTTTTATCTCGATTAAACGAAATCATCTGTTGTTGTGATTAATCGTTTAAAAATTTTGATATTGTTATTGGATTGTGTTGGGAGAGTTTCGCTATTCTTTGCTGGAACAATTTGTAATTATTCATTTTTCAATGCAGAAAATTTGAATTAAAATTGACAATTAAAATGTATTATTTAACAGAAATATAAGATTGAAGAGATGAATGGTTTTTGATGAAATTTTCTAATGAAAATGTATATTATTTATAATCTGAATTTCAAATCTACATAATTAATTAATTTGTGACTCTATTACATGCATGGATAATGATTTTTCTTTTCATTTGTATATGCATATTATCATTTTATTTTATATATTCATTGCATAATTATGAATAATCAGTGACTATTACAGTTATCATACAGTTACCTTGGTTTAATTTGATTAACATTAATTAATTCAAATTTTCTTTTTCTTCTTTTTTTTTTCTTTTTACCTTCTTTTAATAATCATAATTCATATCTAAT